TTCATTCTCGTAAATGAAGCACAAGAAACCCAAGTCTACTCTAATTTACAATGCCAATCTAAAAATTATTTAACATAAGCTCCCTCAGATAGAGTCACTGCTAATGTGAGAGTGCTGTCTCTAATGTAAAAGAGAATTTCTCATATTACATGGACCCTAAAGGAAAGAATAATGTTTATCATAAAACAAACTGTAGTATTTGCAAGCCTCCTTCCCTATTTTGCTGGCTATTCATCCTTTAAAATTCAACGCAAATGTCATCCCCCGTTATAACCCCTCCTCCCCCAGCCTCTCCTGCATAGTTAAGGCACTTCTTCAGGTTCCCATGTACCATGCACCACTATCTAAGCAGTTAATCATATTACACTGATTGTTTTTGTTTGTTTGTTTTACTTATTTTCTTTTCTATTAGATCAAGTCCTCCAAAAAGGCAGAGAAAGAAAAATCTCATGGCTCTATATGGTTCTAGCCTTTAGGCCAGTCACTGACACATGGTGCTGTTTTGGGCCATCAAGTCAATTCTTACTCATAAACTCATTGTTACAGAGTTGATTCCAACTCATAGTGACCCAATATGACAAAAGTGCCCCATAGGGTTTCCTAGGCTATAATTTTTATGAAGCAGACCGCTAGGTCTTTTCAATCTAATAGGTGGATTTGAACTGTTGACCTTTAGGTTAGCAGCCAACCACTTAACTATTGCACCAACAGGGCTTGTCCACTGCCACTGAGTTAATTCCAACTCATAGCAACCCCCATTAGGTTTCCAAGGTGGTAAATCTTCACAGAAGTAGACTGCCCAGTCTTGATATAGAAGGTGGTTAAAAATAAATGTCTGTTCAGTAAGTAGATTTTATAATCATAGAATATAAACTTTTAAATTAAGATTTTTGCTAATATTTCTTACACTATGATAAATAGCATTACTTTGTAATTTAAATACTCTGGAATTATGGCTCAATAATTAAAGATTTCATGAAATGTTTAAAACATTCTAGTTATCTTCATCTTTTCAATCCAAGCTGTAAAGAATCTACACATAAATATTTAAATACACAATCTGATGATGAATCAGCAACATCTATGACTACAAAAATTTTAATTTCATTTCTCCTTTTGTTATTCAGCTTCCTTTATTTTAAACTTCTTGGCTGCTACATGTAAAAGGCTAAGCATTAAAAGCAAAAGTATTACTCTTCCTTATTCTCATGCAAAGGCTTTGAGAAATTAAAACACTTTTTGGCTTTGACAAATTCATAGACAGATGGTAATGATTAAACTGTGCTATTAAAGTGCACTTCCCCAACTCCCTCAACTGATCAGGAAAAGACACTTTCAAAAGTCCTAGACCTTTATGTTCATTGTAAGAACAGATCACTTGTAATTGTTAGCAGAGAACCAAACCAAAACCAAACTGACTGCCGTTGAGTCGTATCTGACTCATAGCAGCCCCTCCTTCCGTTTCTGAGGTGGTATCTCTATGGAAGTAGATTGCCCAACCTTCCTTCTGAGGAGTGGCTGGTGAGTATGAACCACCAGCCTTCTGGTTAGCAGTCAAATGCCATAAGCACTACGCCACCAGAGCTCCCTGTTGTTGTTGTTGTTGTTATTTGCCATCGAGTCAGTCCTGACTCATAGCGACCCCTCCTTGGTTTTCGAGGCAGTGTCACTACGGAAGTAGGATTGCCCAACCTTCCTTCCGAGGAGTGGCTAGTGGGTTTGAACCGCCAGCCTTCTGGTTAGCAGTCAAGTGCCTTAGGCACTATGCTACCAGAGCTCCCTGTTAGTGGAGAGTAACCACTAATTATATTACTACTTTCTGATGCTTGGCCATAGTTTTCCTTGACTTTTTACAATAATCAATTAATACAATATTTTTGTCCTTCTGTGATTGACTTATTTCACCCAGCATGATGTCCTCCAAGTTCATCCATGTTATGTGGTGTTTAGCAGATTATATATTATTCTTCAGTGTTGCACAGTATTCCATTGCATGTATGTACCATAGTTTGGTTATCTATTCTTCTGTTGATGGCCACCTAGGTTGTTTCCATCTTTTTGCTATTGTAAACAGTGCTGTGAGGAACATGGATGTGTATATATCTGTCTTTATCCTGGCTCTCACTTCTTTAGGATATATACCACGTTATGGGATTGCTGGATCAAATGGTATTTCTAATTCCAACTTTCTAAGGAATCGACTTGGCCACAGTTTTAAAGGAAAAGACAAAGTTTCATGTATATCTCAGGCTGACAGACTCATAAAATTCCCTAGATACGCTGAAAGCCTATGTGTCAAAGCATGTACATTTCTACTACACTCATTTCCTCTCCTAGAGACTTTCAGGACTGTGTGGGGTGTGAAGAGAGAAGGGTACTCAAGAAAACATACACTTTGCTTATTTTGTGTTTTGTCTGGGAATAAAAATATGAAGATATAAATGAGACTATCATGGTTTCTTAAACAGAAGACTGGATAGAATACAAGTCATTATGTGTGGGATATTCATTTGTCTCTCCTCTTTTCTTATGCTGTCAGTACAACCTGGTATGGAATGTTTTAATAAATTTTATGTCTGGGCAAATGTGTAACTCTGAATTTACTCTTAGAACAATTGAATGAATTGTTTTTTAGACTGTTAAGAGGATTTGCTGTCTTTATTTCTGACATTGGTCTATATTTGGGATCGGCCAACTTTTTCCATAAAGGGCCAAATTTTAGTATTATAGGCTTGGTGGGTCACATAAGTTCCCCGTTGCATATATACACTTTTCAAAACTCTTAAAAAATGTAAAAATCCATTCTTAGCTCATAAGCTGCACAAGAACAAGTTGTGGGCCTGGCTGTACTAGGAAGCTGTAGCTGGCAAAGCACTGGATAGCTCCTTTAAGAATGTTACCTTAATGACTACTCATTGCCAATCATGCTTTTGAAAAGAGTGGGGATGGGGCAGCTGGGCAGAGACAGTAAAAACTATTTTGAGGATATCACCACTATGCAAGTTCCATGCATGGCCATTTCATATATTCAATATATGCTGAAAAAGGAATCAGATGGTGCCATTCCCCGAATTAATTCCATAGAAAATCTTTAAATGGGAGGCACTATAAAAAGTTTTAATTGCACATAAAAATGATTTCTAAGTCTAGCACACAAAGTAAGAGTGTTTGATTATTCCAGCTCTAAGTTCTAATTAAGTACCTATTAAATTTTTTTTTTAAAAAAAGTTGTTAAATAGAGCACTAGGGAAACTGTGGTAGGTATATTTAAAAGAAACTGTCCTGAGCTTAAGTGAAAAATGAATTTCATAGAGGAAGGGACAACTCTTTATAAAATAAAATGCTTTCTTCTTTCTGACTTATCTCCAAATTTAGAAAAGTCTTGAAACTTAAAAACTAAGTCCAACCACAATCAATTCAGGTTTACTTAAAGCCACAGATTTTGGTAGCTCATGTCCTACACCAAGGAAGACACTGAAAAGCATTTAATCCAGTTCAACAAACATGGCAAAGGACACTGAACTTCTATGAAAAACATGTTAAATTCACTTTGTAAATAAAAATCTTTAATTGGTAAGTTACTATTTTCTTTCTCTCAACAGTGTGAATTAACAAAGGTTAATAAGAATTAAAACGCATTTGTCCTTATATGAATTTTAAAGGAGTCTTGTTGGTGTTGTGGTTAAGCTTTGGCTGCTCACTAAAAGATTAGTGGTTCAAACCCACCAGCTGCTCCACAGGAGAATAATGTGGCAGTCTGCTTCTGTAAAGATTAAAGCCTTGGAAACCCCATGGGGCTGTTTTACTCTGTCTTATAGGGTAGTTATGAATCACAACTGACTTGATGAAAAAAATTTTTTTAAATATGAATTTAAAAAATAACATAACTTAAGACTTAATTTCATACATTAAAAACCAAGTTTATAAAGAAAAGTCATGGCCATAGAGACAGTGTCCCACATGCTGAGAAAATAGACAAAGTAATACTCTCCAGTCAGTGACCCAAATGTGTGCATTTCTTACATTCTACAGATAAGCAGAACCCTCAAAGCAAATCTTTAAGAACTATAGATAAACGAACCTAATTCACTCATTTTAGAATTTCCGTTTGTTTTGTATGATGAATCTGCAAGAGAGACAGCAAGAAAATGATTAGAGCTGAAAAGGAAATGCATATGGTTCTTTACCACAGGTTGTTCATCAACACCTTAACAGATCTTTATCAGTAGACATATAAAGAATAGTCAACTATCTATTTAAAAAACCAACATAATTCTTAAAAGGAATGATTGGGGAGCGGCAGAAACCCAATGGAAAATAAAGAAAATTCCTTTTCACTTCCCATGATATCCTTAGAGACCTATTAAACACTGAAAATGAAGTGGGAGTAGACAGTGTGGTATAACTTACTAGTTTTCTTTCATAGTCATGAAATCAATTTAGCAAACTTTCTAAGGTTTTAGTCGAAAAGAAATATAATTGAGGCATGGAAATTTTATAGCCCTGAGCCACAAATTCTCATTCTTGAATTTTTTATTAGCCTTATGTTGAAAAGAATTAAAGTCTCTGATCTTAGTTTAAAATCATCACACTAACAAACAGAACTACAGCAAAATCTCCAAAAAAAAATGGGGAAGCCTTTTATGAAGGGAAAGATCTTTCAACAAGGACATGGAGAGACCTTTCAGTCTATGTAAAATAAAAACAAAACAAGAAGGTGCGTGCAGAAAAGTATTTATCATGATGAAATTTGTGTTAAAGAAAAGAGGAAAAGATAATATCACATAAAGGTTTCTGGAAAAATACCTAAGAACTGAACAACATTTGTTTGCCTCTGAGGAGACAGAGTGGCTTAAGGAAGAGAGGGAGCAGGGAAACTTTTCATTGTGTATTTACAGTAACTTTTGAATTTTGAATCATATGAATACATGTAATATCTTATTTTAAAATAAATCTATGTTTATAAAAATGTTAAACCAATAGTCAAAACAATCTCTTACCAGATCTTGAGTTTCTTAGAGGGGGTCTACGCAGGTTATTTAGAGAGTCTTCACTTACCACTAATAAAGGAAGAAAAAACATTTAAAATAATATAAAATGGCAAATGTACCATTTATTATACAATCATCCCTTTATCCCACAAAAGTTTACTAAGCTTTTCATTATGTTAGGTGTGGAAATACAATAGTGAATGAGAGACATGGTTCTTGCCATATAATATTTATGGTCTCATTGGAGAAATTCAGTTTTTCTCAGCAGGCCATACTCATATAAAGAAAAGATATACCAAATAAAACTCTTCTTAATTTCTCAATTAATAACTGAAATCTGTAACACAGCACCAACTCAACAATCTATTTCATTTGTGGCTTAACATTATGGCTTATTAATGCATATATTTTAATTTTAGGGCTTTTTTTCTCCCCTTTCACCCAAGTTACTATGTGTCTGTACTCTAGTGAGTGGTTTACCCTCCCCTCCCATTCACTCCTGGTAACCATCAAAGAATATTTCTTTTTTTGTGAAACCCTTTTCTTGACTTTTTACAATAGTGGTCTCACAGTATTTGTCCTTTTGTGATTGACTATTTCACTCAGCATAATATTCTCTAAGTTCATCCATGTTATGAGATGTTTCATAGATTCATCATTGTTCTTTAATATTGTATAGTGTTCCACTGTGTGTATGTACCATAGTTTGTTGATCCACTTCTCTGTTGATGGGCATTGAGGTTGTTTCCATCTTTTTACTATTGTGAATAATGCTATTATGAACATGGGTGTGCATATATCTGTCATGCCATGGGTCTTATTTCTCTAGGATATATACCTAGTGGTGGGATTGCTGGATCATATGGTATTTTTATTTCCAGCTTTTTAAGGAAGTACCATATTGTACTGTAAAAGGAGTAGCTGCACTCCTTTTATAGTGCCACCAGCAGTGTATGAGGGTTCTAGTCTCTATACTCTCACCAGCATTTGTTGTTTTCTGTTTTTCTGAATTTTATTATTAGTGCTGGGGTGAGATGATTGTCTTATTCCTGTTTTGATTTGCATCTCTTTAATGGCCAACGTTTACAAGCATTTCTTCAAGTGTTTGTTAGCTACTTGAATGTCTTCTTTGGTGAAGTGTTTGTTCATGTCCTCTGCTCATTTTTTAATTGGGTTATTTATCTTTTTATTGTTAAAGTGCTGACATTTTCTATAAATTTTAGAGATTACCCCTTTTTGGGCTAGTTTCTTGAGAATTATTATACTCCCTCCCTACAACTATTTAACCTTGTGTTAACTCTAATTTTAAATAAAATGTTAATGTTAGCCTAGAAGACCACTTATAAAAGTATTTTTTTTTTCCAAAGAGCCTCACACAACTATTCTAAAACCAGATATGTATCTAAATTTGGATTATCTTATGTCTTGTTTCATCATCACCGTAAAACAGCATTATATTTTGGGTCTGTATGAGAATTGCAAAAATCAGTCTGGACTGTTTTTCGCTGGCCCTCTCCATTACACTGACTCCATATGTGTGTTTTTACAAAATTGATTTAACCAATTTCCCTTTACAGCATCTAGAAGACAGATAAGGAGCTCTGGTGGTATAGTGCCTAAGGCATTTGACTGTTAACCAGAAGGTTGGTGGTTCAAACCCAACAGCCAATCGACAGAAGGAAGACTGGGCAATCTACCTTCACAAAGATTTACTGCCTTGGAAACCCAAAGGGGTCGCTATGAGTTGGAATCAATTTGATGGCAGTGAGTTTGGTTTTTTAAGTTTTTTAGAAGACAGATATCTTGAGAGGATAGCCATTCATTTGCACAAAAAATATTTATTGAACATCTTATTATGCATCTTAAGGACAGGATGCAGAAGATATATTCTCTTGTAAAGTGCCGTGAGAAAAAAACATATTGTATCTCTACTTTCTAATGTTTACAAAGTGATTTTGCATGCACTATGGCATTTGACTGCTAACCAGAAGGCTGATGGTTCAAACCCACCAGCCACTCCTTGGAAAAAAGACTAGGCAATCTACTTCCGTAGAGATACTGCCTTGGAAACCCAAGGAAGGGTTGTTTTGAGTCGGGACCAACTTGACTCCAGTGGGTTATCTCATATCTGCGGTGAGTGAAGCATGGCAGGTAATATAAAGGACCTGAGGATCAAGATAGGTAAATGACTTGCCGAAGCCCAGTGCTCTTTCCACAACACTATGCAGCCAGGTACCTCATAAATAATGAAATGCAGGCCTAATTGGAACTCTAAAAGACTGCTCAAGACATTCTATTACATCATAGTTTCATAATGGTCTATTCCTGGTGCTCAGTCTTCATTATATCAACTTATTTAACTTTATAATTTTTATAAATTTACTCTAGATTTTTAAAATGAGTTATTTTGCTTCTCCAGGTATGAGGCATATAGTATGAAATTTACCACAGGTAAAATTTAAAGATTATGGTTTTTCCAAACATCTTAGAAAATCTGATTGCAGTACCCGTTACTCAAGGCATTTTTCTAAAATAGTTTATAATCTTAACACAGTTAATATAGGCTGTTCAAGGAATTAAGCATAATATACTTTACTCCAAATTCAGAACAGAACAGTTCAAATTATAAAGCATAATCTTACTAGAATAAACGGATAAAAAATAACTCAGGACTTAGGTAAAAACCAATCAAACAAAAATAACCAAGGATGGTCAGTTTCATTAGCTATAATGATTTGTAATTGTGGCACTTTCTTAAACAGAAAAAAAAAAAAATTTTAAAAAGGGAACTAAAAACCAAAGGATATTAAGCATTACCAATTCAACCAAATTCAATCCTTCCCCTGCTTTGCGAAGCATTTTAAACTGTTTTAAAACTGAAGTAGACTATTAAATGTAGCCTAGTCTCACATTACACTGATTCTAAAATATAATTATTTTTAAACTTAACATCACAGAGACCCTACAGGGCAGAGTAAAACTGCCCTGTAGGATTTCCAAGCCTGTAATCTTTACAGAAGCTGATTGCCACATCTTTTTCCTGCAGAGCAGTTGGTGGGTTTGAACTGTCAACCTTTTGGTAGCAGCCAAGCACTTAACCATTGTGCCACAATGGCTCCTTATGCATTTTATAATCTACGGCTTATTGCAATTTAATGGATAGCATTTTTTTCCCTCTTGGCAGTACATAAAATTATTATAGTGTATCTTCCAACTAACAGCATCTTAGATTCAGTGAAATACATATGTATGAAATTGGTAAGATGGACTGTATTGTATCATTATTTTACCATGCAAGACACTCATTCCATTTTAAATGGAAAGCTGTGTGGCATATTCACTCATGCAACACTTAACAAACATTACTAAGTAGCTAATTGCTACATGGAAGAATGAGAATGAGGTACTTTGGAAAAGTAAAGGGGCTTTGGAGAAGAAAATCTGGGTGTGGATTTTGGCTCAGCCATGTATCACATGATCTTAGGAAGAATTTAAATTGCTCTGAGTTCCAATTTTCTTACCTATAAAATGGGAATAATACCTTTCCTGTAAGGTTGTGTGGATCAGTTAACATATACAATGTGGCTGATACTTAGTAGATACTAAAGGGTCAGTAATCATCTTCTCTTGACACATGTCTATGTTGCCAAATTCAATGAATTTATAGAAGATTCATTGAAACTCTTAGTGACTCTGTACATTAAAAAAAGACAGTCAGTTAAGGAGAAAAACAAAAAATTACTCTTACCTGGAACCTCTGGTGTTCTTACAGCTTTCTTTGAGATTGGTTGACTTAAGACAGTTTGGGAAGATGGCTCATCCTCTACAGAATGAACATAACAAGAGTTAAAATTCAGAATACATAACCCAGGAAATCATGGTACAGATTATACATAGTAACAGCAATATATAAGCAGAAATGCAAGTAATTAATTTCTTTAGAAACTTGTAATCAGGTTTACTAAAATTCTGGGATTAAATTCATCAGAGCTACTCTTAAAACAGAATATAAAAATAAAATGATTCACCTAATTTTTCTTCAGTAATAGATTAGCAAACATAACTACAAATGCACAAATTACAGAAGACAAGTTAGGTAACTGATCTCCTAAAAATTAAATAATTCTGCTTAGCAGAAAACTTTATCAAAAGAGCAAAAAGAGAACCTACAGATTGGAAAAAAAAAAATCTTAGGGAATGGTATATTTGATAAGGGTCTAATCTCCAGAATATAACAAAATATCCAATTAAAATATGGGCAAAGGATATGAACAAACACTTCACCAAAGAGGACAGTTAAGCAGCCAACTAACACATGAAAAGATGCTTGAGATCAATAGCCATCACGGAGATGAAAATTAAAACTACAATGAGATCCTATCCCACCCCTGCAAAACATGGCAATAATCAAAAATATACAGAACAACAAATGCTGGTGAGGTTGCGGAGACACTGGAACCCGGATCTGCTGGTGGTGGTGGTTGTTGTTATGTATTGTTGAGTCGGATCTGACTCATAGTGACCCCTTCTTGGGTTTCCAAGGCAGTGTCACTACAGAAGTAGATTGCCCAACCTTCATTCCTAGGAATAGCTGGTGGGTTTGAACCGCCAGCCTTCTGGTTAGCAGTCAAGTGCCTTAGGCACTACCTACCAGAGCTTTATAGAAATAAATTGCCCTATCTTCCTTGCACAGAGCGGCTAGTAGATTTGTTTGAAATGCCAATCTTCTGGTTAGTAGTCAAATGTCTTAGGCACTGTGCCACCAGGGCTCTTTAAGGTAAAACCAAGTAATGATGAAGTCTGCACAATTTGACTAAGGTGAAAGATGACACGAAGAAGTACATTTTTTAAAAAAAGGACAATTTTGGTAAAAGCCATAACATATACAATTTTATAGTAATAGTAGTAACAACCAAAAATGTGTATGTGGCTACATATGTATGCTAATATCTGTATGGGTAAGAACATATGAATATATGGGTCCACATGTATAGATGTTTCTGTAGGCAAATGTATACACATGTTTGTGTGTGCTGCATTTATATTCATAAACAGGATAAAGCACATGGGGGCCCAGTTATGGATACTTCCTAGACATAACCAAACACCTTGCAGGACTGAGTACTGGGTTTGAGTGCTTGGAATCATAATCTTGGGGAGGGGGTGCAACTTGGCCAAATGGCATAACATAGCTCATAAAGATAATGTTCTACATCCCAGTTTGGTGAGTAGCATCTGGCATCTTGAAAGCTTGCCAGTGGCCATCTAAGATACAACTATTGGTCTCTGTGCATCTGGAGCAGAAGAGAAAGGAGGAAACTAAAGACTCAAAGAAGAAACTAGTTTACAGGACTAATACACTATACGAACCACAGCCTCACCTACCTTGAGACCAGGACTAGATGATGCCCAGCTACTACCATTGACCCTTCTGACTAAAGATAAATAGACAGTTCTGGATAAAATGGGGGACAAATGTAGAATAAAATTCAAATTCCTAAAATAGGCCAGACTTATTGGACCAGTAGAGCCTAGAGGAAGCCCTGAGACTACTGCCTTGGGATACCCTTTAAACTTGGAAATCAAACCACTCCTGGAGGTCACTATCAGCCAAAAGACAGACTGATTCATAAAATAAATATTAATATCACCTGTGAGTACTGTGTTCCTCTAAACAATCATCTAAATGAGACCTACTGGTCAACATTTACCCTAGTCCAAAGATCAGAAGATAAGGGTGGACAAGAAAGCAAAATCAATGGAAATAGAACAACCAGAATGGAATTAATGAGAATGCAACCAATGTAACTAATGAGAATGTCACTGAAAAATATGTATAAAGCAAAAAAAAAAA